TAAAATGATGATTACGATGATATTCAACCTTTTTTTATGAAGAATACAAGAGCACATCCTCAATGATACTTGCTTTTAGTATTCAGGAACATTTCCCCATATTAGGGATGATTGCAAGTATCTTCAACCTCTTTCTATTCATAATGCAAATACACATCTTTTAATAGTACTTTTTTCATCTATGAATCATTTTTCATTAAAGTGATGATTACGATGATATTCATCCTCATTTTATGAAGAATACAACAGCACATCCTCAATGATCCTTTTTTTAGTATTCATGAATATTTCTCCATAATAGGGATGATTGCAATTATCTTCAACCTCTTTCTGTTCATAACACAAATACACATCTTTTAATGGTTCTTTTTTGATCTATGAATCATTTTTCATTAAAGTGATGATTAGGATAATCTTCATCCCCTTGTTATTCAAAATACAATTCTCAATTCCACATTTTGCGTCTCTATAAAAACAGAATGCGGACGAGTCGACGGTAGAAATACGGAATTCGAATTCGCTCACGTTCTAACTTAATTATTTTATAACGCAATTAAGATTAGGACATGTAGAGAGAGAGAGAGCGGTAGAGAAAAAGTTGTTGGCATTGCTGAGTAAAGTTGAATGGGCCGTAATAAAAGTTGTTATTGCAGTTGGATGAGCGTGTGTGTGTATTTGCACCGTTGTATAAGGACGTTACACGCGAGACCCCAACGGATATCATAATATTATTCGCAGAGCAAAAAAAAAATTAAACATCCACCTTGCACTGTTACAACTGCGCACATTTTAATAACTAGGGAAAACGCAGAAGAATAACACTGTTTTTACACGACTAATTTCATACTGTAATTATCCTATTAGTAATTTAATAGCATTGTTTCAACTAAAAGAATTTTAAACGAAAAACTTTAATTTTGTGGAAAATAATTTTTTGCTTATTTTTCACATAAAAATTCAATACATTTTTGATTAAAAAAAAAACAAAGTATTAAATACAAATTAATTGCTTACTTAAGGGGGGCGGGGGTTATCAAGACATATTTCTATAGTATTTAAAATTGATGATTGTTTTTTGTATTTTGGGGTATTCTAAAAATAATTTGCTCAGGGGCCCCAAGTATTCTTAATCCGCCACTGTTTTTATGGCAATTAGAGAAAAAAATTATAAATTATTTTTTAAATTTGATTAATATTTATTATTACGCTGAAACTGAATCCTTTAAATATCAAGTTAAAAGGAATAAATTTAAAGACTAATTAAAATTGGAACGAGTCCTGCTTGCATAAAAAGTGTATAAACGAAGCAGTAATTAACGCGACGTTATTGAGAAAAGGAAGTTTATTAGGTGGTTTATTAGGTGCACGGTTTTGCGCGTTAAAACTAATATCCTTGCAACGGTTTCCCACAGCGGAAAAGCGCGGAATGTTGGAAGCGGTTTACGTTAATTGGAGCGAAACTCGTTCCCGATTTAATGCAGACACCAAACTCCTTTTTTGCATAAACAAAACGCAGCAGTAATTACTCTTCGAGGAACCATAATTTTCCAGTAGTCGCCGATCATTTGTTAGTGGTTGTTCTTTGTTCCAGGAGAACACCCAGCGGCCATGCATCATGGACGAGGACGTTGGTCCACACAGCCGTGCTCCATCATCCTGCTCAGTCTGACGATCGTCCTGATCCTGCGGGAGCCGACGTAGCGCCAGTGAATGCATCATCGACGTCCGTTCGCTGAAGAATGAGAGAGAGATTAGGAGGAGGACGAGGAAACAAACGCAAAACGATTGACCGCACTGGATTAGAATTTAAACGAGGATTGAAAACAAAAATATAATAATTATATAAAGTACTTGTACATATCACATCGGGATAAATATGAAGAAAATAAACAAAAAATTAATAATTAACAAACAAAAAAATATATAATAATAATAACAATATTCTGTAAATAATAAGGATTATTATTATTAATACGGAAACAAATTTAATGTTTTGTACATATAGGTTTATCAAGAAAAGGGGAAAAGATTAACAATTATTATAATATTAATTATATAATTCCTGTCCAAATATATATAAAAAAAAACTTATATATTATATATATATACATAAATTGTAAGGTAATTCTGTGCGAAAGCTTTGTACGCATCACCGAATTCTCTAGGAAACCATATATATTCCACTAAACTAAACAATACGAAGATCCTCCTGCAACATTAAACCAAAAATAATCAACGATTTAGCATACATTTTTAGATCTTCTACATTAATTTATATATATTTTGTTTATAAATTAAATTGCTTTAACAAATATTTTTCTACTTTTCAACCAAGTATTGCAGGAGGATTACCAAACATAAATAAATTTAAAAAAAACAGTATATAATAAGTATATTGTAAGATTGATCACCCGGTTTAGGATTTAAATATTTCTTCTCCGATATATAAAAATAAATCTAATCTAAACTTAAGGATTATACTAATTAATTTTATAAAATTCGGTTGTTGTTATATAAAAAATAAATTTAAAGGTGAGACGTGGATTTTTGTTTATATATATATACAGAAAAATTATGAGAATTTAATAAAGAGTATATGAAAAGATTTGGTTTTGATGGAAATTCTTTTGATTCGTTGTTAATTCTCCGCATCTTCACAAGTCATCATCCCTTTTTGTGTTAAGCAAACAAACAAACAAACAAACTGTGGAGGATGAATGGGAAAAAAGGGGGAAGGTTTCTTTATGTGCGCACATCAAAGAAATCGGGATCAGGAAATAAATAACGGCAGGAAGGATAAAAAAATGGACTGGCAATCATTAATATTGCCCTATTCACAAACAACAGCAAGAAAAAGTAAATGGGAAAGTATAAATCATATAGATTTTATGGCATGTCGATAAATATCGTCGCGTTACGTAAAAAGGTAAGTATACAAAATCTATGTTTCTATTCATTTTGAGTTGATTTTGACTTAAAGATTGATTTTTTTGTCAAATTATTAATTTTAGTTCTATTTTTCTGTTAAATTGTTCATTTCTATGTATTTTTAATGAATTAAATGAAATATTTTTTCAGTTTTTTTCAATTCATATTTATTTCGATTTTCAAACAAATTTTGTTTTTTGATTTTATAGTAACTTTTACATGTTTGTGTCAATTTTGGATATTTCTTTTACAATTAAATTCATGATAATCAAACCATGATGAATTTTCTGTTGTTTTTATAGATTTTTTCTATTAATTCTCAAGAAAGGTAAGAAAACATAAAAATTAATTCATTATAAATAGGTTTTCTTACTTTTCTAAGTTTTTATGGATTTTCTTTAGAATTGTAGGTGTTTATTAGTTTATTAAATGGACTATTATGAAATGATGATTAATTTTGTATCTTTATAAATTTTTGACATAATTCTATAAAAAAACGTTAGAAAATTTAGAAATTTTCTGTTTTTTCCTTAATTATAATTGCTATTTTTGTTTTCAGATTTTCAATCAAATTTTGAGTGTTTCTTTCGTAATTAAATTTAAGATAATCAAATGATGATTAATATTGTATTTTTTACAAGTTTTGTTGAATTTTCTTGCAAAATTTGTCTGTTTTCAGTTGATTTTGAATTTAAGATTGATTTTTTTGTCAAATTATTAATTTTACTTCTATTTTTTTCTTAAATTGTTCATTTCTATGTATTTTTAATGAATGCAGACGTTTTTCGCCATAAAATTAATTAAAATTAAACATTTTTTTCAGTTTTTTACAATTCACTTATTTCGATTTTCAAGCAAATTTTGTTTCTTAATTAAATTGAAAATAATGATTGATTATATATTTTCATATATTTATTCTATTAATTCTCAAGAAAAGTATGAAAACAGAAATATTTCTATGTTTTCTTATTTTATAGTTACTTTTCAATGTTTATGCCAATTTTGGGTATTTCTTTTTCAATTAAATTCATGATAATCAAGTGATGATTAGTGTTGTGTTGTTTTTCTATATCTTTTGTTTTAATTCATGCACATTTTGATCATTTGATTTCATTTTAATTAAATTGACGATAATCAAGTCATAATGAATTTTCTGTTGTTTTTTTTCAGATTTTTTCTTTTAATTCTCAAGAAAGGTAAGAAAACATAAAAATTAATACATTATAAATAGGTTTTCTTACTTATCTAATTTTTTATGGATTTTCTTTAGAATTTTTGGTATTTATTAGTTTATTAAATGGGCTATTATGAAATGTTGATTAATTTTGTATCTTTATATATTTTTGACTTAATTCTATAAAAAAAAAGGAAGAAAATTTATAAATTTTCTGTTTTTTTCCTTTATTATAATTTCTATGTTATTGTATTCAATTTTCATTCAAATTTTGAGTGTTTCTTTCTTAACTAAATTGTAGTTAATTAATATTATATTTTTTTCTTTATTTCCTAATTTTGTTGAATTTTCTTGCAAATTTTGTTTATTTTCAGTGTTTTATGTTTTTTATCTCTATTATTTTGGAGTTTATTGCAAATTATATGTATTTGTTTCTTAATTAAGTTAACATTATTTCAAAACACAAAAACCTTTCTGTTTTCTTATATTCCTTTCATCATCACAAATGCAATTACACATTTATTTATATGTTTATTTCCTTTCGATTTGCATGCGAATGTGTTTGTTGTTTCTTAATGAAATTGATGGTAATCGAGTGATTTGAATGCATTAGTTGGCCTTCCGAAAGTGCCGTTCGATTGGGTATATAACGCTTTGTTTGCGGACTCCGGATTTATTTTAAGCTTTCGGAAGAGCTTTTTGCGCGTGGCGAAAAAGGGCGTGGATGCACCAGATCGCACGATTCCAAACTAAATGCATCTGGTAGCGCACACTTTACTATGCAGTTACAGATAAATAAATAAAATGTCGAGTAACGAATGAAACAAAATGAGCGATAAATACGAAACAAAACAAAAAACAGACAAAAAAAGGAAATTAGAAACAAAAGCGGAAGTTCGTTGTCGCGTTCATCGAAGGCTTTAATTGGTTGAGAGGGATGGGGAGAAGTATACAGTGACGGCTTTATTGGGCGAGAAAGTTTTCAGCCCCTGTCGCATCCCGGAGATTAGTTAACATAATAGGGCGTTACGTAAGTTTGTTAAGGGTTGAAAACGGAGGGGGGGTTGAGATGGAAGAGAGATGGGAGTTTTAATATGCCGCTGTTTATTTCCGGATGGAATCCGGACGATGCTTTTCATCTCCATCTCCCTTATCCACTTGATTCCACTCTATACTTTTTCCTTTTTTTTTATTATTTCTCCATTCTTTGGTCCGAATGGGGGCAAAAAGGACTGAAGAGAACGTAGAAGAATGAGTAAAGGCATTAAATGAAAGGATGGAAAATTCGCGATGCGGCGATGGAGAAATTGAATGTGTTTTTTATGGGAAATCCGCGCGGATAATTATTTTGTGTGTGTGTGTGTGTAGATTGCAATCTGCTGAGTTTTTGGAAATGATTTCAGAGGAATTTATTAAATCGAGCGAGAGGCAAGTTGCAGAGGGAAACCTAGAACAGTCTATATATATTTGCTAAACGGAGCGGCCCTTTTATGCTGGTCCTTGCAAAATCCTGTGACCTGTAAAATCCGTGGCATTTTTTTTATCCTCTCTCTCTCTCCCTATATTCCTTCTCCTTTTGCACCGTCAATAAACTGGGACGCACACATCTACAAAAAAAATATTCTTGGTGATAGAGATTTTGCCAACAAGTTTAACACGTTTTCAGCTCGAGCGTGAACGAAAAGTATTTCAGGAAGTACTCGGTCTTTATCGTTATTATAATGCGTAGTTCTAACATAAATACTTTAGTAAATTCACTCATAGTTTAAATACTAGTTTCATTCATTCATAAATGTTGTTAAACTATATTGTCTAGTGACGTTAAACAATTACATTTAAAGGTAAGTTTAATTAATTAACAACTTGTTAATATCAATATTTGTATGGTTTATTTCAACTGGTTTATTTATTAACTAAAAACTATCTGAAGTTTAAATGAAATTATTTTAATAACTTGTTTAATCTCCATACCAATGAAAATGTCAAATGGTCTATATTAACCAAAACTAAATATATTAACTTAACAATTGTTGTATGGTCCATAGCAAACAAATCTCGTCTTCAACAAATGTTAGATGGTCCATAGTAATCAAAACTACTCTTTAACAAATATCGTATGGTCCATATGAAACAAATCTAGTCTTTAACAAATGTCAGATGGTCTATGGTAATCAAAACTAATCTTTAAGAAATGTTATATGGTCCAGAGAACAAAAACTACTCTTAACAAATGTCGTATGGTCCAAAGCAAACAAATCTGATCTTTAACAAATGTCAGATGGTCCATGGTAATCAAAATTAATCTTAAACAAATGTTTTATAATCCAGAGAAACAGAAACTACTCTTTAATAAATGTCGTATGATCCAAAGCATACAAAGCTGGTCTTTAACAAATGTCAGATGGTCCATAGTAATCACTACTCTTTAACGAATGTCGTATGGTCCATAGGAAACTAATTTAGTCTTTAACAAATGTCAGATGGTCCATGTTAATCAAAACTAATCTTTAAGAAATGTTATATGGTTCAGAGCAACAAAAACTACTCTTCAACAAATGTCGTATGGTCAAAGCAAACAAATCTATCTTTAACAAATGTCAGATGGTCCATGGTAATCAAAATTAATCTTAAACAAATGTTATATAATCCAGAGGAACAAAAACAACAAAAATGTATCTGCGTTGTCGACTGGGACCGGCTGTATATTAAATAGCTTTTCATGGGGGACGTTTCCATAGGGCAGATTGCTTATTGAACGTGCACCCATTAGGACGACTATTCCGAATATTACCC